TTCTGTAACCCTAAATATTTTATTTTGTGTTATCTAAAACTATTATTCTGAGAAAGGATCCATAAACTTCCCTATATGTCAAAAAGGCCCACGGCACAAAAGAAGGATTATGAACCACTCATGTAGATTGTATAACTTTGCCAGCTTTAACAGTCTACAAATTTGTGATGAGCACTTTTGAAAGTGTTTGAGAAAGTTAATCTCATTCACCCAGTTAAGAATGCCTAATAGCTGGGTATGGTGGTTCATACCTGTAATCTCAGTGGCTTGAGAGGCTACAGCAGGAGGATTGCAAATTTAAAGCCAGCCTGAGCAATTTAGCAATTCTCAAGAAACTTAGAGAGGCTCTGTCTCTAAAAAAAAAAAAAAAAAAAATACAAAAAAGAGGCTGGGGAGGGCTGGGGCTGTAGCTCAGTGGCAGAGCACTTGCCTAGCATGCGTGAGGCACTGGGTTTGATCCTCAGCACCACATAAAAATAAACAAATAAAATAAAGGCATGCTGTCCATCTACAACTACCAAAAAAATTAAAGGTGGGGGCTGGGGCTGGGATTATGGCTCAGCGGTAGAATGCTCGCCTAGCACGGGCGGGACCCAAGTTCGATCCTCAGCACCACATAAAAATAAAGGCATTGTGTTGTGTCCATCTACACCAAAAAAAAATTAATTAAAGAAAATTTAAAGGCGGGGGATGGGGATGTGGCTCAGTGTTTAAGTGCCCCTGTTTTCAATCCCCTATTCAAAAAAAAAGGCTAACAAAATTGAAGATCAGTGATATAGAAACAAACTTGCCTAAAAATCACTTGTGTGCCTTGTTTTAAACCTAACTATTGGTAAATGCTTAAAGGGCAGCTACATATCCTCTAGACATGTTATATGCCCTCTTGAATCTCAGTTTCCTTGACTATTAATGGGGATGATGATAGTATCTAACTCACAGGGCTGTTGAGATAATTTAATGGCACGATGTCCTGCAAACCACTTAGCACAGTGCCTGGCACATTGTAGGTCAACAAAAATTCAGCTATTATGCTGTGCTGTCAATTTCCTTCTTGGTTCTCTACAGTACAAATGAAAATATTTAAACATATTAGTAAATCCTTGATTACATGGATTTTTTTGAATATGCAATCTTGTTAAAATAGATGCTACATTTTGTAAATGTTTGATAAATTCATCATTTAAAATGTCACCTAAAGGGTAAAGGCACAAGCTCCAAAGACAGAAAATTGTGGGTTGAAATCCAGACTCTACCACTTACTCTTTATGTTACCTGAGAGCTTCTTTATGTTTCCCAAGCCCATGTCATCCCTGGAATCATAATACCTAATTCATAGGATTGTTGTGAAGAGTAAATGAGACAATATATGTAAGTGCCTGGCACACAATAGGGATTCAATAAATTATATAAATATATATTATATATTTTATTTATTTATTTTCTCTTTTTTGGGGTGCTGGGGATAGAACCTAAGTCCTTATGCATGCTAGGCAAGTACTCTACAGAGCTACATCTCCAGTCCTTATTCTTTTTTAGGGGGTTTACTGGGGATTGAACTCAGGGACAATTGACCACTGAGCCACATCCCCAGCCCTATTTTGTATTTTATTTAGACACAGGGTCTCACTGAGTTGTTTAGTGCCTCACCGTTGTTGAGGCTGACTTTGAACTCAAGATCCTCCTGCTTCAGCCTCCCAACTCTCTGGGATTACAGGTATGTGCCACCATGCCTGGCTCCCAGTTCTTATTCTTTTTGCCTATGAATTTTTTCTATGAATCTGTTCTTTCAGTTATACCACAAATTCTTTGGGGTCTAAGGCTGTGTCTTATTTACCTCTGAATTCCCACTAATATAGTACCTGTCACAGGGCAAGCGTGAAAAGGAGGTACTCCTACTATTCCCTCTCTGTTCCACTCAGAAAGCCACTAGCTCTTTCTAGAAGTGAGTTCTCTCTCTGCTTTCTGAGTTTATGCAATAACATTTTTCTGCTTGGAGTTTTTCCATTTAACACAATATATGTCAGCAAAGCAAGGTTCCACAGAGGGGAGCCAGGTGGCCCTGCCCAGTCAGCCTTCAACTTGCAGAGGTATGCAGTATGTCAATATGAGCTGGACTTGTATGCAAGCACGTGACAGTTCTCTGAACTTTATCTCTGAACTATCTAGATTTTTCTATATCTCTATTATATTTTTTCTTGATCAGCCTAGATATGGTATGCAAAGCTGTACTGAATTATTAATAATACTGCTTGAGAACAAGGACCACAAGGAGGAAAATGTCAAGGGGACAAAATCTTGAATTTAATGGTGCCAAATGCCAAGAAGGAAATACTTCCACTGGGGCCTCTTCCCAAGGTTATGCACAAAGATAAGAGGACTCAGGCAAATATTAGAAGCAAAAGGTCTAGCAGTTCTCAAAACAGAATTTAAGTAAACATTTATGGATCTAATATATTTTGTTATAACATTTAACATAAAATAATTATAAACAAGAGGAAAAATAATAAACACTGTAATTAAAAAAAAATTCAGGGGGCTGGGGTTGTGGCTCAGTGGTAGAGCACTCACCTAGCACTTGCAAGGCCCTGGGTTCAATCCTCAGCACCACATAAAAATAAATAAATAAAATAAAGGTATTATGTCCAACTACAACTAAAAAACAATAATAAAAAAATTCAAGGGGCTGGGGTGTGGCTCAGAGGTAGAGCACTCGCTTAGCATATGTGAAGCATGTTTGATCCTCAGCACCACATAAAGATATTGTGTCCACCTATAACTAAAAAATAAATACTTTTTTTTAAAATTCAGTAGGCTAAAAGTCTACACAATGCAGATGAAATTTCATATTCTACTACCTCCTCTGGCTTTTATCCAAGAACATTAAAAAAAAAAAGACAAGGAAGAAGAAAAAGGAAAAATAATTCATCTAAAGGATTGGCTTTTGAGGGAAGAAACGGAGACTTCTTAGCAGTCTGTGAGAAGAACACAGGGATCATACTCAGTTCTGCTGGTCTTGTCAGTGACCATCAATCATCCCTGACCTTAGAATCGTATCAGGAGCAGAGGTATAGATTGTTTTTGGTTTTCTGGCCACTACAACAGAGAGTACACCTTCCCCATTCTTATTCCCCTAAATTTGGGGACTCCAAATAAGACCCACAGGGCTTTAGGAACAGGAATTAATTTATTGACTACCGTTTGCTCTTAATCACAGGTGTAGGTTATGGCACCTGGAAGAAAATTCAAATCCATGAAATCCAATCTGCAGCTACTCCAAAAAGATGTGGTTCTGACCCTGACTGGGGTCCCTGTCTACAGCTTTGCAATGGCGGGCTGGGCTGGGCACTCTCTTGGTGCAGGAGCTCTGCTTCCTCCTCCACCTCTTCCTCCTCCTCCAGTGTCTGTTACTGAGAACCAAAGCACTGTGGATTCCACCAGGAGGCACCCCTGGCGTCTGCCAAACATCTAACTTGGTGACGCAGACATAGACTGTTTCATGTCTAGAGCACAAGATGGCAGTATATACTGCTTTATTTCAAAAGTCATGGGCTTGTGAATGAATCGAGTGAAAAGGGGGTGGGGAGTGGGACTGAAATTGAAATCTATTTGAGTTTCATATGGAAACTGAACATTGCGAATATTTTTAATTTTTCCAGGAACCAGTAATTTGTGAATCTTACACGTTCAATATATTCCAAGTCTCCAAGTCCTGAGACATCTTAGAAGCCTACCACTTGCCCACCCAGCACATCCCTACATCTCACAAAGCTGGGGTATGACCCAGGGCACCAGACTGCCCCCTCTCCACATATCTGCCCTTTCACTGTACCTCAGCACCGGATTCATCCTCTCAGATCCCTCCGCCGGCAGTTTCCGAACGCATTGCTTCCCCAGTGCCCCTCAGGCCCGTGAACATTTAATCACCACATCTCTGAAAAGGGTAAGAAGGCCGGAGATTTCCCAAGGTGGCAGGTAGGAGTGAGAAAAAGGTTGAGGAGAGCAAGTTTACAAAACAGAGGGAGATAAATGAGAGGAAAGAGGGGGTGCTGAAGTGAAGAAAGTGAGGGGGAAATTAAATGAGGGAAGTTAAGGGAGCTGAAAGAATTCAGAAAGAGAAAAAAAAAGGAAAGGGGAAATGTAGAAATGGAGAAAAGTGGAGAAAAAGAAATGAGAGAGAGAGAGAGGGGAAAGAGAGGAACTGCGGTTGGAAGGGAGATAGAGGAAACAGACAGATAAAGAAAAACTAAAAGAGAAAAATTAGCGAAAAACTGGAAAGCGTGGAAGGTTCAAAGAAAGTAGGTGACTGTGGAGAGGGAGAAGGGTTAGAGCAGAGGTAAGTCCGCTAGCCAGCTGGCGTTCCAGAAAAACAGGACAGGTTACTCAAATAGGATTCAGGAGAGAGGGGAGAGAGTAAGGGGGGTGGGGGAGAAGACAAGTGAAGTGAGAAGAAAGGGACAGAAACTGAGGACGAGTTTGACCGTGCTTCTTTGAGTTTGGCTTAAGACATTTATTGAGTATCCCTGACGTGTATCTGGCTCTGGCTCTCTTGACTCTGCAGAGACGACCTGTTCTCCGCACCCCCCAAATAGGGTTTGTGGAGAGCGACGGTTGAAAGCCACGACACGCGGGGGCTCCCAAACGCGGCGTTTCTCCTGTAGGGGGACTCCTCCGCGGTGGGACTAGAAACATTTGCCCTCCCGCCAAGCTCCAGACCCGCTAGGCGGGGTGACAGGGGAGGCGCGGCGCGCCAGACGGAGTGCTGGCAGATTTCTGGCAGAGGATGCGCCATGAGCGTTGAGGGAGCCCGAATCGTGGCTCTAGGCGCTCGGAGAAAGGGAGAGCCGGAACGGGTTCCATAGGAGTGCGAGCGGCTGCGTGGGCGCTAGGGTGAGGGCGGGGCGGGGCGAGGGGGCCAGACTGAGCCCGACCTGGGGCCCGCGCCTGCCAGGGAAGCGACGGCGGAGCGTGCTCCGCCGGCCCAGCTGGGGTCATTTACATGCTGTCATAGCCGGGTGCTGACTCCGAGGCGTGCGGCAGGCTCGTTCGCTCGCTCTCTCTCCGCTCCTGCCACCGCTCAGCCGGCACAGCCCAAGAGAGCCTGAGAGCCTGTGAGCCAGGGTGGGAGGGAGCATAGGAGGGAGGGAGCGAGGGCGCGCCCCGGTTCTCCCTCTTGCCCTGTTGCCCGCCCTTCCTGCCGCCACAGGTCCGCCCCGAGCCCTGCTCACACTTGGGAAACTTGGGACTGCGCTGGGGCCGTGTGTGGCACCTCAGAGGGGGCGGCCCCGGCCACTAGAGGAGGGGGAGGAGGAGGAGGAAGTGAGCCCGAAGGATCCGCTCAGAGCTGTTTGTCCAGCTGTTTCTATTCGCACCCCGAGCAGTTACAACCAGAAGGGGGCTGAGCCTAGGGTAGCTGGCTTTGGGCGCTAATTTCCAACTCTTCTCCTCACAGCTTGTCTTTTCCAGGCACCCTGGAGTCCCCTAAGGCCAGCCCGGAGGGCGCGCACCTGCCAGCCGCCCCTGACCTCGAAGGCCAGGCGGCCCCCGAGCCTGAGAAGATGGCCCAGTCCAAGACCGACTGCCGCTCACCTGTCGGCCTCGATTGCTGCAACTGCTGCCTGGACCTGGCCCACCGGAGCGGGCTCCAGCGCGACAGTAGCGGGGAGAACAACAACCCGGGCAGCCCTACAGTGAGCAACTTTCGGCAGTTGCAGGAGAAGCTAATCTTTGAGAACCTCAACACTGACAAGCTCAACAGCATAATGCGGCAGGATTCGCTAGAGCCAGTGCTGCGGGACCCCTGCTACCTGATTAACGAGGGCATCTGCAACCGCAACATCGACCAAACCATGCTCTCCATCCTGCTCTTCTTCCACAGGTGGGTGGCTGGGCACACGGGTGGGTGCGAGTCCAGGTTCACACCAGCCTCTGCTGGACCTTCACCTCTGACAAAAGGGGCAATCAGGAAGTTCATTAGGGGCACGGGGGAGATCAGGCTCTCTGGCTTTGGTAACTGGACTTTGAGGTTATTTGGAATCCCACAGAACTCAGGGGAGGATTGGCAGGTGCGAATATTTTGAAGGGGCCTAGAAAGGCTCACCAGGACAACTCTGGGGCCCAGAAGGTCTGCAGACCCCATAGGTATGGAGAGAGCTCTCAGTACCCATTTTCACAAATGCATACATTTCCACAAACCCCTTAGGACATTCTGCCGCGAGGTCCTCTTGGAATCTGAGTTCTACTCTATCCAAAAGCCCATTTCTAAATGTACAAGCTCGGATTGAAACTGCAAGAGCTTTTAAATTACTGAGTGGCCCTGACAGTGAGGACAAGCAAAATGTCAAGACAAATTAGGCTGCAGCTGGTGGCAGAAGGTGGACGGTTGGGAATAAGAAAAAACAGAGACAGGTTAGGTTTTCTTGAGACTCTGGATGGGGGGACTCCACCCCCTCCATGGATCACAGCCTTTGATTTCAAATGTAGGCAAAAGGAACCCCAGAGAGCACCCTAGGACATCTCCTTGAGTGCCTCAAGAACTGCATGTGGCAGTAAGGTGGATGAATCCATATCCATGCAAGCAGTGTTTGAGAGGGTAGGTTAGACTTTCTAGAAATCCTGTTGGGGAGGAAAGGAAGAGAGAGGAGAGAAACACAGTGGGCATACCCAAGGCAGCTGTTGTCCCCCAATGTGAGATGATCTGGTAACAATGACTTAACAACTGAGGTCATTTTTTAAAATTTGTATTTGTTCTTTTTAGTTATACATGACAGGAGGGTCTATTTTGACATATTTATACGAACATGGAGTATATGGTATTCTAATTATGATTCCAGTCTTGTGGACGTACACAATGTTGAGATTCACTATGCTGTATTCATATATATACTTAGGAAAGTTATGTGAGGTTCATTCCACTGTCTTTCCTGTTCCTGTCCCCACTCCCAATACAACTGAGCTAATTTAAAGACAAGGAAGGCAACTTTAGGAAACCTTGCCATGGGTTTGGCATTCTTAGTGGGAGGCTGCGTGTGTATGTACAGGGATGGATTTTATTCTTGCTCAATGACACAGGTTATGTAAGTGAAAGCCATCCCTGTTGTGCGAGACTGGACGGTAGTACAAGTTAAGGTTTTACCTTTCTGTATGAGCCTGAGCAAGTTGCCTTACCTCTCTGGTCTCTAAGGCTCCTTCTAGCTCTGAGGTTCTAGGTCATGGGTAGGTGGTGTGAACAGACAAAGTGATAAGAAATACTGAGCACTCACAAAATGCTTGGGTGCCTGTGAGGCTGAAAGGAGAAATTTTAAAAAACAATAGAGAAAGGCAGGAGCGACCCTCACTTAATGCTAAGATCAGTTTTGCCTCCCTTGTCCCAAGACAAATCCACCATCGACTCTTCCTCACTCTATTCCCAGTGGTTCCAGAGGGAGACAAGCAAGGCTGCCAACTTCGTTAGTATCACTGTAACAAGTTGTATTTCTCAGGCATTTGTGATGCCATTCAAGCCCTTTGTCATCTATTATTTCACTTTAGGTGTCAAATTATCTCATTTTCTAAAATAAACCAGGCCATGGATGGAACAGGTTTTGAGAGAATCTTCATTTCTGGTGAAAGATTACTACAAGTGTATTCATTCCACAGACGTTGAAACCCTGCAGAGCAAAATCCCTAACTGGCTCCTAAGGATCCACTCATCTCTATTGGAGAGTGGCAGAGGGGGAGGGGTGGTGCAGAAACCTGGAATTGTGTCTGTAGCATTTGTGTTCTTTCAGCTGGGAGAGAAACTGCCCCTCCAGGGCTTTGGTAAAGGGTGAAAGGGGGGACTTCCTCTGGTTCTGGGCCTAGGAGGATTGAACTTAAGTGAGCAAGATGTGAAGTTGGGAGCCTGAAGATCAAAATTTTCACCTGTGCCACACCTCAGTGTGTCCTGATTTGGGTTTCTTGAATGGAAAGACCTCCTTTGTTATCCACATTATTGATGTTTGATTCTTGGTAAAACCTGGAAATGCTACAAGTTGGGGAAGAGGGGAGGTGTTGATGGCGCTCGTTGAGAAAGGAGAGTGAACTATTAGGAAGGTGCACCTGAGCACCCTGTCTCCTGGAAACAGAGCAACTCAGTGGCCTAAACTGATGAGGAGCAAACCAGCAAGTTGTCAGGCTTCCCTGAGTTTGAGGAGTGAAGCAGGGTCTTGTGGTAACAATCTTATAGTCTCTCTCTCATTTTTATTGACAACTAGGACCTTAAAGAGCACAGATACTGGGCTGGGGGTATAGCTTAGTGGTAGAGCACATGCCTAGCATTCAAGAGACCCTGAGTTCCATCCCCAGCACTGGAAAGAAATGGGAGTGGAGTGAGGACTGAATTCAGTTTAGGCTTTGCCCAGAATGACATGCTTATTAGCAAACCAGGAGACCATTATTTCTAGTCATGAGGCTTTTCCAATGTCTAGATTGGACAGTCTTCTCCTAAGTGAACATTTCCTTTATTACTTCATTTCATTCCCTGGGTTTCTATCACCATACTTCAGCTGCCGTTTTCACTCCTTTTCCTTTTCATGATTAGACATTTCAGGTTCCTGTTTCAGTGTCTTTTTCCTTAGCCAACTTTCAAGACTGCCTGTCCTGTTGGAGAAAGTATGCTCCATATCCCTCATCCCGTAGCCTATTCCCTTGCTATGAGGGCTCCCGCATTCTTAGGAAGAGGGCAGGGCACACTCCTGATTTATATCTTGTTTGCCTGCTTTGACCTGTCCCTGCTTCCCAGCTTAGCCCTTGGTTTCCTTGGAACAAAAGAGTGTAAGAAATTTGCAGGTAGGGCTGTATTTGACTCACTTGGTTTCCCTCAGCTTCTACTTATACAGCTAGTACTTAATAAAGTTTTTTTTGTGTGTGGGGGGGGAGTGACTACTTAATTGTTGGTGTAGTCCCATGTAAACATTTTACAACTTTAAATTTGTCCTGGAAAATCCTTATTAAAGTTTAAAGGTTGTTCTTTTTTTTCCCCATTTTTTAACACCACATGCAATGCTTCTAGTACCCTGGTAGAAGTCCTGATAGACGCTTCTGTGTATACACATATAAATCTGTGGTAATGGGGTATGTAGCCTTTTGGTCTGTAAATGGTGCCTCTATACTATTGGGTAGAAGATGTGTGTTTTAAACACCATCCCCTCAGTCTTTTGTTATGTAACTAACAACTATAAAGGTTTAATAGCTAATGTTTATTTCATATCTTATAATGTATACTAAATATCATATCTGCATAATTTCAGTTAATATTTATACCAACCCAATGAAATGGTCACTATTATTTCATTCTATAAAGAACAAAATGAAGGCTGGAGTTGTGGCTCAGCGGTAGAACGCTTGCCTAGCATGTGCAGGGTGCTGGGTTTGATTCTCAGCACCACATAAAAATAAAGTAAAGTATTGTGTCCAACTACAACTAAAACAAAATATTTTTTAAAAGAACAAAATTGAGACTCAGAAAAATTAAGTAATGTGCCTAGTGCTTCACAATGAAGAGTAGAACCTAGACTGTGACTGAGAGCATGAATTCTAGGGTCTATGTGCTGCCTATGAAGAAAGAATTGTTAAGAACACTAAAGAATCTGGGTGCACATGCTTATAATCCCAGCAGCTTTGGAGGCTGAGGCAGGAGAATCATGAGTTCAAAGCCAGCCTCAGCAAAATCGAGGTGCCAAGTAAATCAGTGAAACCCTATCTCTAAATAAAATACATAATAGGGCTGGGGATGTGTCTCAGTGGTCAAGTGGCCCTGAGTTCAATCTCCAGTACAAAAAACACTAAAGAAGAATAAACTCAGGCTGGGGTTGTGGCTCAGTGGTAGAGCGCTTGCCTCACATGTGCAAGATCCTGGGTTTGATCCTCAGTACCACATAAAAATAAATAAGTGAAATAAAGGTATTGTGTACAATTAAAAAAAAAACTTAAAGAATAAACTAACACTAGAGACTTTGTCAAAACACTAAAGATGGGTCTATGAAGAAAAGGTAAATGTGAGCACACAACTTTTCCAAATGGGCAATATGTCCTTGTTAGGTAAGGGGACCAATAGTCTTGGTCCTGGAACACAGGACTTTCATTGATCCCACTGGGACAAATCTAGGAAAACTAGGACAGTTGGTTACCCTATTATTAGAGGATTTTACCTTGTGATTTGAGTATGCTTCCACTGCTGGAAAACTTAGGAGGGAGACAAAATAAGCTGGGAACAACTGAAGTTTTCAACTAATGCATTCCTTATTTATTCTTTTTTTTTTTGGTACCAGAAATGCTTAACCACTAACCCATACTCCAGACCTTTCTATTTTTTATTTTGAGAAAGGGGCTGACTGTGTTTCTGAGGGTCTCACTAAATTACTGAATCTGGCTTTGAATTTGTAATCCTCCTGCCTCAGCCTCCAGAGTTGCTGGGATTACAGGTGTGTGACATCGTGCCTGGCTTATTTTATTTTATTTTATTTTGAGACAAGGTCTCCATAAATTACTAAGGCTGGCCTTAAATCTGTGATCCTCCTGCCTCAGCCTCCAGAGCCACCAGGATTACAGATATGTGCCCCAGAGGCCTAGCTGTAAATTCCAGTTTAAATGTAGCATAAACACATGAAAAACCTTGCTAATTTGAAATTTCAAGAACTTTAATTCTTCCACCGATGTGATATACCAAGCTAGAATGAGAGGTTTGGCAATAGTCTGCTGGTGTGATTGTTGTTATTGTAACCTCAAATTTATTTCTAGGATTTTACCCAAAACTTTAAAATCAACTCCATTCTGCCTTCAATCCCAGAGAATCCTTCCTCAGTGTAATCTAAAATATTCTGTACATGAATTTCCCTTCAGTTCCTGAAGTCTTAGTAT